TTAATAAAAAAATAATGTATATTTGTAAAAATCAAATATAATGTAAAACAGCCATTCAGCCTTACGCCTGAAAACACACACACATTCCAAAGTGAAATTAAGCACTATTCATTAGCCTTGTAGGGGAAAGTAACCAATACATATGAGCCCAGCTAGGAGCCTGGTGGATATTTAAGACAAAAAAAAACTTGAGCTCTGGCTGATTTAGTTCAGTGGTTAGAGCATGGGCCTGTGGACAGGTCAGGGTTTGATTCCCAGTCAAGCGTACATTCCTAGGTTACAAGTTCCCTGGCCCCAGTGGGGTGCCTGCAGGAGGCACCCAATCGATGTGAGACACATTGATGTTTCTCTGTCTCCTCCTCCCCTTCCTTTCCTCCACTCTCTCTAGAAATCACTGGAAAAAATATCCTCTGGTGAGGATTAAACACACACACACACACAAAACAAACAAACAAACAAACAAACCTGAGCTGTTTTTTGTCAGAAATAGAAAAGGAAAATATAATGATCAAGCTCAAGCTCATGATTTTCTCATTTTCTTTCCAACCTATTATCTTCATTACCTTAAGATTCAAGAACTTGAAAGGGTAGGGAGACAATATTTGTAAATGTCTTCTAAGGACTACTTCCCCTTACTGATTTTTATACCTTTCCGCTACTGTCCATGGTATTTACTACACAAGCACCCCATGCAGTATCAATCAGGTCCTGTCAGAATTACCAAGAACCAGATCTCTGGTTTATAAAGAAGGTACATTCATTTATTTTCAATTTCAAAAGGAAAGCAGAGAAGGGGGGAAAGTAGTGAGGGATCACAATAATAAAACTTTGGAGGTTTTAAAAGTAAGCTTGTTGATAATAAACTCCAGGTCAGTGTCCCCTTCTGTCGCGATAGTATTAAACTTGGGATCTTGCCAAACCAATATTTATCCAGGTGTTCAGATTCCAGGTCCTTAATGAAAAAGACAAAAATGGTTTTATCTGCTGGCCAACTTTTGTTGTTGTTAATTCTCACCCAAAAATATTTTTTCCACTGATTTTTAGAGAGAGGGAGGGAAGAGGAAACACCAATGTGAGACACATTGGTTGGTTGCCTCCCCCATGCATCCTGACGGGGTCAGGGATGAACCTGCAACCAAGGTACTCGCCCTTGACCAGGAATCAAACCCACGACCCTCTGGTGCACAGGCTGACACTCTAACCACTGTGACACCTGGCCAACTTTTTTTGTAATGGTGCATGATTATTTCCTTCGAGCCATAGGATTAGGAAGACTTTGCTACTTACAGCTCTGAATTCTTCAGTGATACTGATGTCTACATTGGAAAACAAAAACCAGAAACTGCCCTGGCCAGGTGGCTCAGTTGGTTGGAGTGTAGTCCTGTACACCAAGATTGCAGGTTTGATTCCCGGTCAGGGCACATACCTAGGTTACGAGTTTGATCACTGGTAGGGTCACATACAAGAGGCAACTGATTGATGTTTCATTCTCCCTTCCTCTCTCTAAAAATCAATTAAAATATATCCTCAGGTGAAGATTAAAAACAAAACATTCAGAAACCTTCACAATATTCAACAAAACCTCTGATTAAAGATGTAACTATAGTCCTAGCTGGCTTGGCTCAGTGGATAGAGCGTCGGCCTGCTGACTGAAGGGTCCCAGTTTGATTCTGGTCAAGGGCACAAGCCCGGATTTCGGGCTCAATCCCCAGTGGGGGGGCGTGCAGGAAGCAGCCAATCAATGATTCTCATCATTGATATTTCTGTCTCTCTCTCTCTCTCTGAAATCAATAAAAAATATATTTTAAAAAAAGATGTGACTATAAAGATGATTCAATGAAAATTTAAAAGAATATCCATGGGGCGGAGGCAGGAGTGGGCTGGAGGGGATCAAGGGGGGAAAAAGGAGACATATGTAATACTTTCAACAATAACGATGAAAAAAAAAAGAGAATATCCATATAAATTCAATTTCAGGATATAAAAGGTATTTTTAAACGAGACACAAAATCTAGAAGACAAAGAATGACAAGAGTTGACCACATAAAAATAAATTTAAAAAAATCCTCACCTGAGGATATTTTTGATTTTTAGAGAAACAATGACGTGAGAAACATCGATGGGTTGACCGCATATGTGCCCAACTGGGGCCCCTTCCCAAGCTCCAAGCCCCCCTCCCAACCTGTGGGAATAGAGTGAAGGCCACCTGTAGGCAGACTGAGACCTTGGGAGCCTGGCCAGTTTCTTGGTCAGGGAGAATCTGCTTCTGAATGTGAGCCCAAATTATAAACAACCGCAGAGAAACAGCTTGCATTGTGATTTCATAAAGCTACCCTGCATGCTGTTTGCTTTGTTTTCGGTACTCTACGTAACCCTGTACTTCGAAAGTTTGGGGTATCTATAATAATAAAAGCGTTAATATGCTAATTAGACTGCACATCCTTCCAGAAGAAGCTGGGGCTGCAAGGGCCGAGCCCCTTGCATGAATTTTGTGCATTAGGCCTCTAGTGTTCCAGCTGCCCCATACACACCTGTCCTAATAAAACCGTCTCTCTCACAGTTTTCTGGGTTACTTCTTTGGAACCCACAATTTTGGGCAACTCTCTTTCTGAAGCACAGCCCCCGCTCCCTTTTCCTAAGTTCCAACAGCTCTTCTTTTGTAACTTGTTCCCTGAGCCCAGGCAGCCCAGTTGGCTCACTTCTACCTTTGTAACTTTCTAAATAAACATTTGCTTATAAAAATGAGGACATTTTGATTGCTAAATATAAGACACTGTTCTAAGTGCCTCACATGTACACATTTCATTTTTATAAAAACCCACAACCTATTTACAGATGAAGAACTGAGGCATAGAGAGGTGAAGAGACTATGCTACACTGCTGGTTTTGAAGATGGAAAGGGCCAGGAACCAAGGAATGCAGACGGCCTGAGAAACAAAAACAAGGAAATAGACTTTGCCATTAGTCTCCTTGGAAGGAACCAGCCCTGTTACCTTGACTTTAGTCCAGTGAGATAGATTTTGGATTTCTGACTTCTAGACTGTGAAGCTCATAAGTTTATGTTGTTTTAAGCAAATTAAGTTTGTGGCAATTTTTTCACAGCACCAGTAAGAAACTAATACAACATAAAGAAGGATACTTTTTTTAAAAAATTGAGGTACAGCAGGTCCTCGGGTTACATCAGAGATCTGTTCCTACGGCGCCATGTAACTTGATTTTCGCTGTAAATTGGAACCCACCTACATAAGCACCTACGTCACTCACATGGAGCACATACACAGCAGTAATGAAGTGAAACTGTAAAAAAAATTTAAAAGAAAGATAATTCCTGACCTCTATTGTGGTAAATAAAGCACATATGTACATACGTCGAAATGACGGAACTTTTTTTTATAATGGGAGATGGCAACGTAACCACGAAACAACATACATCAAGTCCGAGGTAACCCAAGGACTGCCTATATAGGTGCTCTCCCTCCCCAGAGCACACTCTTCTCTTTCTTTCCTCCCTCCCTCAGGTGAGTTACCATTACCTTCCTCTCTTCCAAACTCTAAGGGCCCTTCCTTTGCCTCTATAACTTGTTCCTAAGCCCATTTCTTTAACAAATTGATTCTTCTACCTGTGATTTTATAAAATGTTCTTATAAAAAACTGAGGTGTAATTGACATTGTTAGTTTCAGCTATACAACATAGTCCAATGTTTGCATGTTACAAAATGACTACATTCTCTATGTGGATTTTGGACATGAGTAAACATAGATCTAACACAACCAGATGAATCCTATCAAAAGACTTGTTTTTCAGATGGAATTTTAACAAACTATATTCTAAGTATTAAAATTTCACATGAAACTCATTTTCATCTTCCCACACACACAAAAAAACCCCACACATTTTTGTGGAGCCACATGTCTGTGGGTGTTTCTACATTCATGATAAAGGCAATCAGATTAAGAAAAAGTCTAATCACAAAGGAATATAAAACTATTTATTAACCACTGTTTACCAGTATTTACAATAAAGTAAACAATATACAGTTGGGTAACATTCTGTTTACTACAAAGCTATTGTTTTTCCTGGCTTTTGTTGAACCAGTACCCCAAATACTGAGACTGAGCCTACATGTAAAGACTGAGTTGGAGTAAAGAGAAAACATGCAGACCAAGAGTTTAGATTACAAAAAGTCTGTTCATCCATTTATTCCAGCAAGTCCCAAATTGCCAAGGTCTCTAACAATCTGATTAGGTATCCATGAATAAAGTCTTACACATTCCATGACCCTATTTTTTAAGTCAATACAGCATAGGGATTTCAACTTCTTGTAAAGGAACATTTTATGGGGTGAAACCTTTAAATAAGTGTTGCTTACCTAATTAAAACACATCAGGGTTTGCCTACTTTTCTCATTTGGGTGAGGAGGTTATTGGCAGTGATAAAATTTTCCTTTCAGGGGTTTTGCAAATAAACTTGCATTTATGATTGTAGATATGGATTCTTATATGTCTACTTTAAATTGTCCAATTTACACTGTTTACATTATATTTAAACTGTCCAATTAATTATAAATTATCTAATTTCAAAGGTTAAAAGCTTCAGGAAAAATTTCAATTTAACTTCAAATGATTTTTTTTCTTAGGTTGCTGAAAATGATGGCAGTTCAGAAACATGAGCTTATCTATAGTTGTGAAATGGTTTTGTTTTGGTAAAAAAAAAAAAAAGAAAGAAAACCATTTACATATGTATACACACCTACCACTTCCCCCCCTCCCCAATAAACAAAAAACCAACAATGATCCTTAGGCACATACAAATTCTGACTGAGTAATGACTATGGAGATTTCCCTCAACATTTTCTCTAATGCAGAGGAAAAAATACAACATGGTATCAAATGTTCTTTTCTGATAAAGGAAGCAACTACAGAAAGCTTTTGTTCAAAGTAACCAGTGCTATAGATGCAACCCCCCAACAACTCCCCAGCACTACTTCAAAACAAACATATCAAACTTGATTTTCATTATAATGTAGTTCTTTCTTCACACTAATAAATCAAAAAAAAAAAACAAAAAAAACCAACCAAGACCCAGATTTTATATATATGTATAAATATATATAAAAAGCAATGCAAACAATTATTGGGCTTCGTCTTCTGGACAAGAATGCCAAGTTAGTCTTTCTTCATAGAAAGCAATTACAATTTGAGGACACTTCATATTTGCCTCTTTTGCCAGCACCAAATCAGCCTCATCTGAATCTTTCCTGTTGTGAGGAAAAAAAAAATTCAGTTAAAAGTCTAAACCCTTTTTGTCAAATGAGAATTGCTCAATACATCGTAATTTAATTAGATTATTTAACAATTCAGGAGGATTATGAGGTACTTGTGCCAGGGTTTTTTATAAAATGAAATTTTAAATATTTCATTTTATAAAACAGACCAGTTTGCTAATCTTTGCTTTGAAATATCATTAGCAAAAGTAAGTAGAATCATCCCTTCAGCAGATAATTATTCTCTATCTAATGATAAAAACTATAAAACCCTTTCTACATAAAGCCTCACAGGAAAAAAAAAAAGCCCATTGCCCTGACTGGGTAGCTCAGTTGGTCAGAGCATTGTTCCAATATGTTAAGGTTGCAGGTTCAATCCCCAGTCAGGGCACCTATTAAGAATCAACCAATGAATGCATAAATAAGTGGAACAACAAATCAAGGTCGTCCCCCCCACCCCCGCCCTCATTATCTGTCAAAAAAAAAAAAAAAAAAAAAGCCCATCTATTTGTACTTTATATATAACAGTAATCACCCACACACTTACCATTTCATAAGAAACATTAACTCTCCACTGCTGTCTGTGGCACCAATTATTCGTTCAGGATCAAGACCTCTGGCAAAGCCTCTTGGTTTATCAGCCTGTTTAGAAGTTAAATGATTATTTGCATTTATGTTTCCACACAGCAAATTAATATTAACTTCCAATTTGTTTTTGTGACATATAACTTTTAAATAAAAACCTTTCAATAGTGAAACAGAAATTATTAGAACACACACCACATTTAATTCAAAACACATCATAATTTCTATTAACCTGACCTTACATGCAGAAAAAAAAAATCTGGATGTCTAAAAGTATTCTGAACCAGAAATTAAGAAAACAGACAAACCAATACCTTTATTTCTGATAACTTTAATAATTTAATAATTACAAATCCTTAAAGTTAACATTTCAAATCACTTCCAGGAATTAGCCTAAATTACCTATATTTATGAAGCACATACAAAAATAGAAACATCAAAATAGTAAAATCCACAAAACTCAAGATTAATCAGTATTGTAATCAATCTGAATAGTAAGAAATCTTATAAAATAAAATACTTCCTATAAACTAGTAATTCTCAAAGTGTTGTCTGAGGGTTCTTGGGAATCCCTGAGACCTTTGGGGTGTCCATTTATCCATAAGGTCCCCTCTTTTCATGTACTTGTAACTTCAGATTGTCTTCACATGCCTCCACCAATCATAACACAGCAAACCAAATATAGAACTACTATTAAGCCACACATTAAAAATATTTGCAAAACTGTAAAATATGCCTCACATTTAAAGTTATTTTTTCATGAATAGTTACGAACATACAATAGATTTTGTCATTTTTAAATGAATATATAAATACTTTAGAAGTTTCTATTTTAATCATATCCCACTGGTCATTTATAGGTATAACCCATATAAACAAAAGTTCTTTGGGATCCTCAATAATTTTCTGGAGACCAAAGTTTAAGAGCTGCTTAGATCAATAAATCCTTTCACCCCATCCAGACTTTTACATCAATATCCCAGACTCTGAAGTCAGATGCCTAGGTTACTTAGAATAATGGCTCTAACCTCTACTAGCTGCGTAGCTCTGGGCAAGTTAACCTCTTTGTGGTTTAGATTACCCCCCAAAATAGGAAGATTTGTATCAGCTATGTTACAGACTTTTCATGTATATGAAATACAAAGTAAGTTATTATCTAGAAGACTGCTTGGCACAATGTAAGGGCTAAATGCATGAAAATTCACTATTGTAATTAAACAGTGCTTCTGCAGAGCATGTGGTTGACTTTTAAATTACATACATTAGTCCCCATTTATTCACTCACGAAAATATGTTCAAGACCCAGTGGATAGTACTAAACCCTACACACGTTTTCTCCTACACACTTACCTACAGTAAACTTTAATTTATAAATTAGGCACAGTAAGAGATTAACTAGTAATAAAAAAATCATAACATTGTAGAAGTTATATAAATGTAGTCTCTCACAGTATCTTATTGTACTATACTCACCCTTCTAGTGATGATGTGAGATGGTAAAATGCCTACATGACGAGATGAATGACGTAGGCATTATGATGTAGCATTAAGCTACTAATGAATGACCTTCTGATGATATGTCAGAAGGAGGATCATCTGGCTCCAGGTGATCCTGGATCATTGAGCCATGACAATGTTGATGGTTGGATGTCAGGAGCAGAAAATGTTGGTTGGAGAAATTTAGTATTTTTGGAACCCAGTTGACCACAGGTAACTGAAACCTCGGATATAAGGGGACTAATATATAGTGATTCTTCACATTGTTACTTTTTTGTTTTGACTGCTAAAGTATCCAGAACCAAATCTATAGCCAACCTCTGTTTCTCCTCTGTAAAATGGGGATAATACCTATAATCTTAATAGAGATGTCATGAACATTTAATGGATTATCTGTAAAGTATATGGCATCTAGTTCAAATGATCAAATTTAAAATATAAAGATCTTATCAAGAAGTCTGTATTGTATGTTTAGTCACCAAGCCTAAATACTAATTAAGAACAAAGACCCTTTCCCAAATTACCATACCCAGTACAAAGGGCAAATATAATTTGTTTTGAAGTTGAAAGTAAGCAGAGTTGTGATTTGCCTAAAGCCACAGACACCAGTTAACAAAGATTAGAGCATGTAGTGAATACTAAACCAACTGCTTCAATTCACGCCAATAAAAAAAAATATTATCAAAGATTATGTCAGAATCAAAGTATCATTTGGCATTACTTTGATAATGGAAAGATCACATACCAAAGTACTTTCTTGTGGTCAAAGCTGTTAATGGTCAACAATCAGGATGAGCTATGTGTACTGTTTTCAAGGACTGCTAGTCTTGGATCAAAGGGACCATACCCAATAATCTACCCAAAATAACACTAGCACAATTTAAATTAAGCCTTTTAAAAAGGCGTTTAAATCATATTTTAAAAGCATTAAAGTCTTTAAAAGTATCCTAAACATCAAGCCATCAACCTTTTACAAAAAGCCAGTTTGGTGGGCAATATTTTATACTTACAGCATCTCTTTTCTTCTTTGATTTGCTATCATCAGATTCACTGTCAGATAAAGACTTTCTTTTTGTACCATCTTTTTCTTTACCAGCTTTTTGAGAATTAAGAAATGCTTCAATTAACTCTGGACAATCTAAATTTTCTTCAGGTTCCCAAGTATTGTCAGCACTGCATTCAGTTAAAAAAAAGTTCATTTGATTAAACATGGTTTATCACCGTCATCCAGATTCACTTAATATATATCTGAAAAGTCCTGTGCTAACCACTTATTCCCTATCCCTCAACATTCTTTTAACACAATGTGATCATACTTCCCTTATGTCTTCTTTCACAGTTCCTATCCAAGGAGGCAATCTGCTATATTACCCCAGGTTAACAAATCCTGATTCTAGCAGAATAACTGGAGCTAATATTTTTCCAAATTATGAAAACAACCCACTTAAAAATGTGAATTCCTAATTCCCACTGTAAATCACTTTACTAGATTAATCAGAAGATACGCAGAATTAGGGTCTCCAATACTGTGATTTAAAATAATTCTGAGGCACTCTCAAACATGAGATAGTACCTCCAATTTCTGCTGAGTGCTCAAATTGGGAAATGATATAAAGGAGGGATTGGCAACAGAAACAAAGTTAAACCCAATCTTCTGACTTTTACATTTTTAATTGGTTGGAAAAATATTTCAAAATGAAAATGATAAAATTTGAATTTCAGGGCCCATAAACAAGGGCTGGAAAGAAAACAAGTATCAATTACCAAATGTGAAAGTATGATCATCCTTCAACAGTGATAGGCTTGCAAACTTTGTGTGCTCTGATCCAAAAAAGCCTTTACACAGATAGAATGAAACTAATCATTTTAGAGATGCTGGGAAAGGTGCTATTAACCTCTGGTTTCAACTTGGTTTGCTGATTCAGACTTCAAAATTGGCAAACCTAAATTAGAGGGTGAAGGAGGACAAAAGAGCTGAAGTGGAGCCTCCACTCTGTAACGTTTTTTTCATTACATCCTTCTATATTACCTGACACATAATACCACACATAGGTTCTCAATCATACTTAGTAGCCTTCAGTTTGGGGAGAAAGGGAAGAGTTAGCTCCCTAACATTTAATGGGTGGGACATAGAGTTTTTAATATGCCAGGAGGTTAAAAAACAAACAATAAAAACCAACTCTCTACCATATGAAGGTTATCAATTTGGGTTAAATCAAACTGGTTAAATCTAATTCAAAAATAGTTCAGGCTTATTTGTTTGGTTCAGCTATTTATAGGAAAATTTTCTAGGGGTACATTATGAACTTATGATAAAAACTTTAATTCAAGTAAGGGTACTGAGAAGATAAAATAGGAAAACCTAAACCTTCCATTCATTTCATACTTCCCAAACTGCTAGGAGGTTGCCTTAAAATGTGAATGGTGGAGATAGATTACAGGTAGTTGAAGCCTAATAATGTGACTATCATACTCATCTCCATCATGCTCAGAAAAATTTTTGTAGATTTCTACCTATCCATTATTAATAGTTGTTGCCCATGGAGCCTCACTGTTTTTGTGGTGTAAGACAGAAGAGAATTCAAGCACATTAGCACACGATAAACATTAAGAATGAAATTTCTGCATGCAAGTTATTCACAAGACAACTAATATAAGCAGTTATGAGAACAACTAGTAACAAGGATCATGAGGAACCAGGGAGTTTAAAAAAATGCCCAGGTTCCACTTCTTATAGAGATTTAGGATACAGTAAGAACTGGATCATAACCAGCACTTCTGTTTAATACCCACTGGTCTACACTATAGACCCTCCATGTTTGTTAGTGCCCTCCTCATGTAAGGAAGTGATGTAGATTGGGTATTCTAATTAATTAGTACAATAGCGACATTGAAATGCATTACATAGCCCTGGCCCATGTGGCTCAATGGTTGGGCATCATTCTGTGCACTGAAAGGTTGCTGGAATGAAGTAGGGGGCTTGCAGGAGGCAGCTGATCAAGGGCTTGCTCTCATAGCACTGTTTCTCACTTCCTCTCCTTTCCTCTCTAAAAAATCAATTTAAAAAATACAACACAAAAAACATTACACAGCACTACAATTAATTCTATAATTTGACGCTCCAAGGTAATCAACTAGTCTCAAATTTGCTTGGCTAACCTGTAGGCTAAGAACTTGGTTCTTTTCAAACAGAACTCTAACAAGATACCCCGAATTAAAGGAATTAAAAAATTTAAAGAAACCTATGGGAAAACTGATAAAAGATCTCAGGTTGAAAACAAGTTTTAAATGCCACTTAAGTGCACTTAAACATAAAAGGGATTCACTCACTCTGTGAATCCTTTCCACTTCAGGAAATACTCCACCTTCCCATTCACTACACGTCGGTCCAATACTTTTTCCACTACAAATTCTTCAGGCTCTGCCTCTTCAACTTTTTTACTCTTTCCATTCTGTTTCTTTCCCATTTTTTGCTAAAACAAAACAAATAAAGAAAAAAAGAATTAAAAAATATCTTGTTTTTTGGGTACATTTTAAAGGCTAAATTAATTGCTTATATTATTGTTGAATTTGACACCTAAATTTTTACTTCTATATCCCAGGGTAGACACTTCCTGGGGGGAAAAAAACCCAAAAAACCAACAGATACTAATACAAAAAATAAATATGTAATTAAGCTGATTTCGCTTAAACCTATTACTCACCACCTTTCAATTAAACAATACAATAAAAAACACTTGTGTGGAAAATACTGTTATCTTTTCCTGGTCTAGTTCTACATCATCTACAAGACTGTGTTTACTAGTTTTCACTCAGTTTAACAACACAGCCACTAGATGGTATTAGGAGATTAGACAGAGGAGAGATAACTAGCAGTGACAGATCTTAGTAAGTGAACCATAGATCAGTGAAATCATATCCCCCACACTCTCAGACCCCCTTTGCCAATTCAAATACCAATGTTAAAAGCCTCAGCAATATAGAAAAAGGTTAACTGCAATGAAAACATGGTTCAGAATCCTAGCATCAGTCACAGGATCAATTAAGGAGACCATGACTAGATTTAAAAGGACAAGATTATTTTTTCATAATCTCTATTGATAATATATATTACTGAACAACTGGAACAAAGCTATAAATGCTGTCACTTCAAAATGTCAAAATGCTGGATCAGTTTAATTGTGGGGGGAAAAAAAGAATCCTTCTTGGTTACTCAAAAGTTTAAATTGGGCCATGGCTAGGTGGCCCAGTTGGTTGGTGTGTTGCACCATACACCAAAAGGTTTCAGGTTCAATACGCGGTCGGGGCAAGTATAGGAGGCAATCAATCAATGTTTCTCTCTTTTTAAAATCAATAAAAACATGTCCCTGCAGGTAAGGATTAAAAAAAAAAAAAGTCTAAATTGGTAGCCAACAAAATTCACTTTTAGCTTAGTTTTCTCTTTTCAAAGTATAACACTTAATAGAGAAGCAGGAAACCAAGCCCAAATCACTGTTTTCTAATAATTTAAACAGATTTATTATGAGAGGACTGAAAATGAGTAAACTTTTAAAACCCCACATAACTAGCCTGGCCGGTGTCGCTCAGTGGTTGAATGTGGACCTATGAACTAGGAGGTCACAGTTCCATTCCCGGTCAGGGCACATGCCCAGGTTGTGGGCTTGATTCCCCAGTGTAGGAGGCAGCCAATCAATGATTCTCTCTCATCATTGATGTTTCTCTCCCCCCCCCCCCACTTTCTTCCTCTCTGAAATCAATAAAAATATATTTTAAAAAATATAAAAGCAGAAAAAGACAACAGAATACCGGAAGATTGCAAAAGAACATTTAAACTATGTAGTTATTTAGAGGTACACACACATATTACTTGGGCACTGCACCCAATCAGATAATTTTCTGCTTCTGTGCAGTACAAGGAAGGTAAGCATGGTAGTGGGAAGAATGAAGAAAAATTGGGTGTGAACAAAAGCTTATTAGACACTAATCATAAATGACAAACAAAATAGGTCCATGAGGATAAGAGATGTACAGAATAAAGATGACAAAAAATAAACACTGAAAATGAAAAGGATAAACCCTCAGGCTAGATAAAATTATTTAATAAAGATAAAAAATTGTGTACAAAATCAATTTAATCCTATATAACAAAAACTTAATATGCAAATCGACCAAATGGTGGAAGGACCGGTCGCTATGACGTGCACTGACCACCAGGGGAGCAACGCACAGCCAGAAGCCTGGCTCACACAGCAGCAGTGGCAGGAGCCTCTCACGCCTCCGCAGCAGTGCTAAGGATGTGCAACTGCTGGCTTAGCAGGGAGGGGGTCTAAGTTATTAGTTGGATATCCCCTGAGGACTCCCAGACTTCGAGAGGGTACAGGCCTGGCTGAGGGACCACCCCCCCCCGCCCCCCCAGTGCAAGAACTTTGTGCACCGGGCCTCTAGTTTTAATATAAGCATCTACTTGCTTTCTGTATTTATATTCATCCTCCAAGTACCAAGCATAGTTAGCTCCTTTCCCATCCAATATTTGGACATAGGTGACCATAAAGCCAATTCAATCACATACACTTTGGTTTACTGATTATGGAATTTGAAAGTTCAATTCTGAAGGGGCACAGAAGATGCTTTGCGCTTTTTCCACTGATGGCTTTGGGGAGAATCATTTGCACCATCGGCTCACCAGACAGGTTTTATATTTCATATTTCCCAGGATATTTCATTTACATGTGCACTCTAATGATGACACAAATTATAAATCACCAACTTGCCCTTTAGTGTATAATTCAAGAAGAAAATGTACAAACCAAAACCAAATGTTTTGCTTTATTAATGTTATTATTAATGCAGTGTGTCGGAATTAAATACTGTGGAAATCATAACTTTGAATTTCATGATTCTCATGTGAATATCCCAGTTTTTTAAACTTATAACTTGACTGAATGTACAGTGTCTACACATTTGTAGAACTTTAAATGAAGCCTAAGAATAAAACTTTGGCTTTAAGAAACGGGAGAGAAAAAAGTTATCTGCTCATATGCTCCATTCTTCTCTCCTTACAGGATAGATGTGCAGTTTGGTTCATTTTGTATATTAAAAAGAATGGGCAATGATTCAAATTTAAGGCCCTTGTGTATTTTAGAGTAAGTTTGAGATATGACAAAGTGCCCAAAGTATTTGAAAGAATCAATGAGTCTTGACCCAGTCTAACTGGGTATCTGTTCTTTAATCTGGGCAATACTGCAAATACTTGATTTCTCTAGAATTCAGTACACAGTGAGTTAGGTAATATGACAATCAACAAAGGCTTTCCTGCTTGGTCCATACTTGTAGTCTTCCATGTTACATACATTTGTGCACTTTTACTTCAAGATAAAAATCTATTCATTAACATTCATACTGTGGTATACTCAAGTTTAGGCTCCCTTAAGTTAATCAAAATATTAGGCCAAATCAATAATCATCTCCATGTAATGAGTTCGTTTTTTGCAGCTAATTCTTTCCATAACACTGGGGGGAGAGGGCACTGGGGAATATAAATGGATGTAAATTTCTCAAACACTGAAATGCAAAGTTACAATTTTCAGAGGAAAAATTTGAGTTAGATCCTTACGTATTTTAGGTTTTTATTAACTTACCAATGTAGTTTTATTGGAGGCCATTTTTTATTGCAGACTCCAAGAGCTATTACTAGAAAAATGCATGACAGTTAAAACGAAGTTTGCATGACACAAAAAGGTAGCTAAACACGTGTCGTTTGGATCCCCCCCGCCCCCATGTATACAAATCCACTGAGCAGCAATGTGAACTGCTGCGTAAGTTATTAGTAATATATTCCTAGAGTTTATCAGTATTCCAACCGAGTGGTCTAGAAACCTCATGGGGACACCGGTACTAAGACAGCTTTACAGGGCAAAACCTGCAGACATTTTTCCCCCCAACACAAATCTCATTTACACAACACTCAGTATTTAAGGATGGCCAAATATTCTGGTTCAACTTCAGACCCAATTACCCAATCAAAACGATAAAGTGCCGTGAATTTTCCCTCGAGGCCTCCTTCCTAAGAGTTCTAAGAGTCGCCTAGGTAACCCTAACTTGGTTTCTTCTTGGAAACCTTCCCTCTTTCCAGTCACTCGTTAAAAAAACTAAACGGAAAACACACCACGATGCTTCAGTACCGTTTGGTGCCGCTTGAAAACAAACCACCCCGAGGCACCTCCGTCCGCTCCCCCGAGCCCGGGTCCTCGCCGCCGCAGGAAGCCAGGCACCCGGCCCCGCCCCCGCCCCCACTCGGGAGCTCGGGCCTCGTGGTCAGCGCATCCGCGGGGAGAAACAAAGGCCGCGGCGCGGGGGCTCAAGGGCACTGCGCCACGGGGCCCGCGCCTACGCCCGCCCGCCCGCGGCGGCCACGTAACGGAGCGCCGGCCGCAGCCGGAGAACGCGCCGCCCTCCCCAAAGAGGCCCCCGTCGCGACCACGCCGGGGAGGGGGAGGGGGGCCTCCCGTTTTGATCGGCGATGGGGGAGGGGAGAGATAAATGCGCTTTGTCTCAAAATTAGGCGGCTGTCGCCGGTCCTCTACCCTCTCAAGGGATCTCATCCCCACGGCCGAAGCCGGCCCCGCGCCAGGCCCGCGGCGGGGTCTCCCCTCGCCTCTGCGCTCCTCACCCCCACACCCCGCCTCGGGGTCGGGTGGGGAATGGCCGGGAGATGGGGACCGGCTG